GTGTTTCTCTGTAGTTTTTGGAGTCTGTCCTGGAACTAGCTCTTGTAGACCAGGCTGGCTTCGAACTCATGGAGATTCTCCTGCCTCTGCCTCCCGAGTGTTGGAACTAAAAGCGTGCGCCACCGCCCAGAAGCTACTCAGCTTTTTCACTAAACCAATCACAACAACACATCTTCACACTGTGTAAACAAATATCCCGCAACACAGGCAGGGTGGGGAAACAGAAACAACCACTTGACAAGTTTGTTCCAGACCTTGGAGTAGTTCACAGAAAATATTTGGCGAAGACTTTAGTTCTCGCCATGATGAGGGAGCACTGACGGCAGTGAGTGCACAGAGGCTGAGACACTGGCTGTGCACGCTGATGGCTCCCATGTGACATTAAATGGTACTCCACAAACTGCCGCTGGTGTCCCTGCCCCGACACCACCATTTTGAAGAGGCCTTGGCGACTGTTGTGAGCCGACTCGCAGTGCTAAGCAGAACACCTATTCTGCCTGAGCCAGTTGGGTTTTCTGAAGTTTTAGCTTCAAATAGAGTTGGAACTGTAATCTCAAAAGCCTGGAGCAAGCTGACAGGAACACAGAGACACTTACACTATAATCCAACACCTTCATGAAAGCTACAGTCATTGTAGACAACACTTTTGTCCAAAATGGTTGGTCGGTGATGTGGGATGTCCTTCCATACATGTGTTGCTTTATTGGCTGATGAATAAAGCTGTTTCAGCCTATGGCAGGGCAGAATAAAGTCAGGTGGGAAATCTGAGCAGAAATATAGAGTGGGAGGAGTCAAAGAGTAGCCATGTAGCTGCTAAAGGAAAAGGATATCAGACCCTACTACCATTAAGTCACAGCCTCGTGGCTACACAAATTGATAGAAATGGGTTAAGATGAAAGAGCTACCCAATAAGAAGTAAGTTAATAGGCCAAGCAGTGTTGTAATTAATATAGTCTCTGTGTGATTATTTGAGTCTTAGTGGCTGGAAATGAAAGAACAGTCTCCATTTACAGGCTGGAATAAAACTATTGGTTGGAAGGGTTTTTTTTTTCGGTTTCTATTTGTTTTATTTTGGATTGTTTGTTTTGTTTTTTGCTTGTTTTCTTTTTCAGTTCTGGATAAACCCGTGGCTAGGTAAGTGCTTGACCAGCTGCCCTACATCCCATCCCCAAAGTACCCCCCTCCGCTCTCTTTACTATTTTGTGTGTGGGTGTTTTGCCTGCATGTATGTCTGTGTGCTATGTGTGTACCTGGTGCCCACAGTTCAGAAAAGGGTGTCCAGTAAGTCTTAACTCCTGAGCCATCTCTCTAACTCTTTTTTTTTTTTTTTCAGAAAGTCTCACTGTGTTCTTGAATCTAACCTTGAATTCCTGGACTCAGTTGATCTTTAGCCTCTAGTAGCTGAGACTTTAGGTGTGTACCTACCATCGCACATGGACTCTGGCCTCCAAATAAATCATTTTAAGCCAAATTCTATTAGTTAAATAGATAATGTGCTCCCAACAAGAAAAAAATTTAGAGGGGTTAGGAGGTGTGACCTTGTTGGAGAAAATGTGTCACTGGGGGTGGGCTTTGAGGTTTTAGAAGTACAAACCAGGTCCAGTCTCTCTCTCTCCTTCTCCCTCTCTCTCTCCCCCCTTTCCTCTTTCTCTCCCCCATCCTCTCTCTCTCTCCCTTTATCTTTCTCTCTCTCTCTCTATCTCTCTCTCTCTGTCTCTCTGTCTCTCTCTCTCTCTCTCTCTCTCTCTCTCTCTCTCTCTCTCTCTCTCGCTTGCTCACTCTTTCTAGCAGGCCCAAGCAAGGCAAACGGCACTAACAGGTATTAACTTTTACCCTTTACCCTCCTCCCCTTGCTGAAGACTGTTAGACCACATTCCCAAAGCTAGTAACCAAAGATCATTCCCTTATTTGGCCACTGACTCATTACTGAGACAAAACACCAAGGTTCAACAATCAAAATTCATTATTTGGCTAATATGTCCAGTTAGGACTTACCAACTCACCCAAGCACAGACTCCCCATTTTTTTCCTTAAAAACCCACTCCTGTAGAAAAAAAAAAAAAGCTGCTTTTCCTGCAAAAAACAAACAAACCTGCTTTTCCTGAAAAACAAAAATAAAACAACAAAACCAAAACAAAACAAAACAAACAAAAAAACTCCACCCACTTTTCCTGCTGGCTTGCTGTCTGCCTCTGCAGCCTGTCCCATCCCAACTTGCCCCTCTGAGGTAATAAATCTTTGTGCTTAAAATTTGGTGTCTGGGAGTGTCTTGAGGAGGACCTCCCTTACAGTTACGTCATTTCATGAAACTATTCCTAAGAATACTTTAAGTGCTAAAATTATCTTGGTAAATTGGTCTCTGCACAGCCCTAAATTCCGATACAGAGGGACCTTTAGATAAAGGCTAACTCCCTGACTCTTTAACTGTTATCTTTCTACTTCTGGAGACTTCTGGAAGTAAGTATATACTTGCTTCATATATTCTCAAAATTGTGGTTTTCTGCTCTTAAAAAGTCAAACCAACTGGAGGTCAGTTCTGTTTTATCTACTAAGACAGTCCCGCCAGTGGTTAATGAAGACGCCATTTGACTTACTCAGGCTTCTGGGGACTTTTCTCTTCAGGTGCCCAGAACATCCCTTCCTGTGGCCTACAGATCTGGGGGAGACCTCTCGTTCCTTTTCCGGCACATGACTGACTCTGTGTCACCAGGCTTCCCACTGCGCTGACAATGGGCTAAACATCTTAACCTGTAAGCTAGTCCCAGCTAGATGCGGCCTTTGACAACAGTTCTCATGGTCATGATGTCTCTGCACAGCAATAGAACATTGACTAAGGCACGAAGTTTGGGTTTTGGTCGTGGTATTTCATCACTGCAATGTAACTGCCCTTAAACAGAATACTTGGAGATCCTGTGGTTCAGTCCAAGACAGAAAGTGAAACGAGACAGAGCGTGGAGGATCGTACCCCGCACCCTCCCACCCACCCCCACTCCCACCCTGACCCTCACCCTCCACCCCTCCACCCCCACCCCTCACACCCCCACACTCCCATCCCCACATCCCCTCACACCCCACTCCCACCCCCTCACCCCCACCTCCTCACACCTCCACCTCCACCCCCGGACTCCCCCATGCCTCCTCACACCCCCACACCCCCACACCCCGCTCTGCAGCACCTGTCCTGCAGACCACAGGCTTCCAACCCTCCCCAGGCAGGACGGCTCTCCAGGATTTTGTGCTAATATGGTAATGTGAACTTCTCCACCTACCACAGGGATTCTCCTCATGCCTGTCTGTCTCTGCACACACAGCTCCTAGGACCCAGCACTGCCCTTTCTTCCCGTGCAGACTCCATCGTGTGGGAGTATTATACTTCAGGTTATGAGAGGAGAATATCTCCTTAAAATTTATACTGACTTTTCCTTCACTTCCAGTGAAGTCAGTATCTGATGCCCTCTCCTAACCTTCATGAAAACACACAGAGAGACACACAAACACACAAAACAAAATAAAACAAATCTTAAAGAAAGGCTTTCCAACATATGCACCCAATTTCCCTTCGCGTTCTATTTTGAGGCTTGCTTATACCCTGTATCCATTTTCTATCACTGTCATAAATACGATGCTCAAAAGGGACTGAGAGGAAAGGCCTTGTTCAAAGTCACAAGGGGGCACTGGGAAGTGTGGGAGGAGCCTGAAAGAGAAACCATGGGAATGTTGCTTACAGAATAACTTCATCTGGCTTGATCAGCCAGCTTTCCTGCACAGCCCAGGCCTGCTTAGGGATGGCACCACCCACAGTGGAGTGGGCTCTCCTGCAGCAACTAGCAACCAAGAAACTGCCCCTTCAGACATGCCCACAGGCCCATCTCATGGGGGTGGTTCTTGAACTGAAGTCTCTTTCCTGATGTGTCAGGTTGACAATCAAGGTGAGTCTCCACAGCCTGATTCATGTTCTATGTATTATCTGCCCGACTTCACGTCTGCTCTCCTTGATGGCTCCTCCTCCTTATGAACTGTCCTGTTACCAACTGTCACCGGAAGCCTGACTTCTCTCCACAACTTATTTTCCCCCTCTTTAAATCTCTTAGGCAAATTGTGTCAACTCATCTGGAGCACACAGCATATTTACCATTACATAACTTCCAGGCAGATGTTATGAAACCTGGTTAGAATTCTCGAGGACACAAATTCTGCCTCACTCGCCCTTAGCCTTTACAGGGTTCAGGGTGTGGCCCACTTGGAAGAGTGCTTGTCTCCAATACACAAAGTCCTGGGTCAAGGTTATCCCTAGTTCCCTGGGCTATGTAAGAGTCTAAGAGTCTGTCTCAAAAAAAAAAAAAAAAAAAAGCAAAACCAAGAAATGTTACAAGTTCTAATATTTTTCTCTACAAAGAGTTCAAGGTTAATAATTATTTTTAATTCAACTTTCATCTATTAAAGTGATATTGTGATATGATATTTATATATTCCATGAAATGAAAAATATAATAACATATTGTGTTATTTTAATTAACTGGATTTTAATTTGGGAAAGTTTTTTCAAAATACTTTTTTTCATTGGTACACACATGATATGCATAGATTGAATCTAAAGCAAGTAGTAGAAAAATGTACTTTTTTAAATTGAGGGCCAGTGAGATGGCTCAGCAGATGAAGGACCGACCACCAGTGCAGAAGACCTAAATTTAGTCCCCAGAACCCACAATGTGGGAGAGAACCTACTCTTGCAAGGTACCCTCTGGCCTCCACATGCTCACTATGGTGCATTCTCATGTACACTCACATGCACACATTTACATACACACTTGCATGCACACACTCACATGCACATACTCACGTGCACCCACTCGCATGCACACATTTGCATGCACACTCACGTGCACACACTCGCATGCACACATGTGCACACACACCACACATACAATATGTAAAAACTTATTTTTAAAACAAACCAAACTGCAACGTAAGTTTTGATCAGCAAGATAAAATCATCTTACCTGAGAGAGGATTTGTTCAGACTCCTAGGATCTTTTCTTCTCCAAAAAGTAGGTCCATTATTATCTTGCTTGACTTAAAAACAAGAAAGTGATGTGGTCATTGACTAAGTGATCTGAGTTTATGAGACCTGATGTCATCAAGGGTCGTGACACAGCAGTCTAGTGCCACTGCCACGGCTTGAAATCTTCCTTTGTAATGGGGACCCGGAAGTGAAGTGGAACTCGGTCTGCGTCTGTGGTGGTGGTGGAATGTCTGATCTCCTAGACACCACACACTCGAGGCTGCGGGCACAGGCAGGAATGACAAAATCCTGACTCCATCCCACTCTCCAGAGAGCAGTGGCTCAGACACCAAGTCTTTGGTCAGCCAGCCTGGTGGATTTTCGACAGAATGTTTGTAGTGCTACCCAGCTGAAAACATTTTTCGGGGGCTGGGAGATAGCTCAGTCAGAAAAGTGCCTGCTCCACTAAAGCCTGATAGGACCCCCAGCACCCTTGTAAAAGCTGGGGTTATGGCATGTGTCTGTGGCCCCATGGCCACAACTCCATGGGATGGGAGTTGTGGGCAGGATCCCTGGAGCCCATCGGCTAGGCAGCTTAGCTGCATCGGTGAACTCAGGTTCAGTAAGAGACACTGTCTCAAAAAATAAGTTGGAGAGAAACCAAGAAAGACACCAGATGTAGATCTCTGGCCTCAACACAGAAACATATACCACACACAGAGACTTGTACAAAAAAGTCCCAATATATGTACACTAAAGACACTCTTTAGAAGAAATTTTGCAATGGCTAGTTTTGACTGCCAACTTGACACATATAGAATCGCCTAGAAGTCTCAGTGAGGGGCTTTTTAGGTCAAGTCGGCCAGTAAGAATGTCTTGGGAAATTGTCTTGTTACCATAACTGAAGTGGGAAGACACTCCCTGTAGTCAGATGTTTCTCTGCTGCCTTCCTGTTCAAAAATACCTGGCAGTTGCTTCCCAGATAATTGACTCAGAGGCTTAATATAAATTATAAATGCTCAGCCAATAACTCAGGCTTATTACTACCTCTTACATTTTAAATAAACTCATATTTTTTATTTACTCTCTGCCATGGGTTGTACCTTTATTAGCATGACACATTCATCGCTTGCTCCCTCTGTGACTGCTGGCAACTCCTCTCATTTCATCCTTCTCCTTCCCATCATCCTTAGTTTGGTTGTCCCGCCTATACTTCCTGCCTGGCTACAGGTCAATCAGTGCTTTATTAAACCAATTCAAGTGACAAATCTTTACAGGGTACAAGAGGATCATTTCACAGCAGCTCCCACTGTGGGCAGTATCAATCCCTGATTTGGTCCTAGACTTAAAAACAGAAAAACTAATCCAGGCGTGGGCATGCATGCACCTATCTTCTCTCTGCTCTTGCCCGTGGCTATGATATCTGCTTTGCGCTCCTGCCATCACTTTCCCACAGTGATGGACTGTAACCTGAAACTGTAAGACAAGCCCTTCCCCTTCAGTACTTCCTGTCATTTTATATTAGCACAGAGACCAGAGCAGACTGTAGAACAGTAAATGTGCTTTCTCTATTGCAAGAGAAAGCAATCCTCTTCCTGTGAAGACATTTGAGCAGAATTATGAAAAAAAATTCCCATCATACCTGAAACTCCCTAGAACCTTGTTCTAGTTTTAGACCTTCCCTACCTTATTAGTTTTAGAAAATGTCCTGTTTTAACTTACATATACATATGTGCGTATGTGTGTGCATGTGTGCATGTATGTAACTTTTTGTTCCATTTCTATTTCTTTGGTCTTATTTTACTGTGTAGCCTTGTGGCTTTGAACTTGCAATGTAGACCAGGCTGGCCTTGAACTTGCATTGATCGTCCTGCCTCTGCCTCCCAAGTGCTGGGTTACAGACATGTGCTACCACACTGGCTGTGCATTTTTCCTTCTTCCTTCCTTCCTTTTTTTGTTTTTGTACGATTTTGTTGTTTGCTTTTGGTTTTATTTTCTTTTTTAAAACTAATTTATTTAAATTTATTTTTTTGGACATTGGTGTGAAGATGTCATATCTCTAAGAACTGGAGTTACAGACAGTTGTAAGCTGCTATGTGGATGCTAGGAATTGAACCCAGGTCCTCTGGAAGAGCAGTCAGTGCTCTTAACTGCTGAGTCATCTCTCCAGCCCATGCCTTTCTTCTTTGAGGCAGAGTTTCATGTAGCTGAGGCCTGCCTCAAGCTTACTATGCAGACAAGGGTGACCTTTAACTCCTGACCCTCCCTCCTCCGCCCCCACGTGCTAGGATCACAAGCATGTGCCACACACCACGTTCCGCTCCATTTTGTTAAATCGTATTTCACTGTGCTTTGGGAGTTAGTTTGGATTTTTTTTTTAAGTCTTTAAGATGTCATCTGTGGTTCTAGACCTGTGACAGTGACCGCTAGTCACATGGAGCTGCTTAAACCCAAATCGAAACTTAGTTACACAACAGCATTCATGTTTGGTGGCCAAATGTGTTGGACATAATCCCACTCGATGTAAAATATGTCCACGATGGTAGTAAGTGTTGCTGCTGGTGGTATTCTAGAATGTTCCTGAAACTAAGTAATCTTGGTGCTCTCTCTCCCAGAGCTTCAGAGTTCATCCTCGCCACTCTGTTGCCAGGGGTTTTGTTCCTGTAGAGTCTGCTATAGCTGGGGCTGCAATGTCTCCCAAGGCTTACTCCCAAGCCCGCATCACCACTGGAAGGTGGTAGAATGTTCACAAGGTGGGGACTGGGAAGAAATAAATGAAAGCATACCCATGAAGGGGAAATTGGAACCGGAACCCCTTCCTACCTTGTTCTCCCTTCTGAACTGACCTGAACTTGTTCTACCATGCTTCCTTCCACCCTATGCTGCCATGCCAAGGCCCAAAACACCAGGATGTGCTGACCATGAACTGAAAGTATGTGCCTAACTGCCTTCCCTTTGGGTTCCTTTATCTCAGATTCTGGCTCAGTAAAGCAAAGTTGGTGAGCAACGTTTAATAGCCACTCTGCATCTAAATACAGAAAATCCAAAATGCTGACTGTGGCCCACATAAGAAAATATGTATGCTCATGAGAAATAAAAACTGCTGGGCTGGGAGATGGCTCAGTGGTTAAGAGCACTGCCTGCTCTTCCAAAAGTCCTGAGTTCAATTCCTGACAACCACATGGTGGTTCATCTGTAATGAGGTCTGGTGCCCTCTTCTGGCCTGCAGACATACACAAAGACAGAATATTGCATACATAATAGATAGATAGATAGATAGATAGATAGATAGATAGATAGATAGATAGATAGATAGATAGATATTTTTTTTAAAAAACTGCTTTTTCTCTGTACCTCTTGAAAAAGCTGGACCTAACAACCGTATCTGATGATTTAAACCAAGTATTTTTACTGCAGATGATCTGGACTCTGAGTTTCCTTTGTTCAGATAATCACGGTGACTGGGGAGTGGACAACTTTGCCACATGATAAAAATACTCCCTGGGCTTTCACCCATGAGGTTAGCAGTCAGTACTAATAATTACCTTTATTTAACTACTCAGTAGCTAATGCTTGCTGCTTCTCTTGGCATGACATCATCCTTAACATTAAAGACTATGGTAATAGCTATTTCACACAGCTGGTCAGACAGGAGTGAGTCCACCCCTTCCTGTAGGACCACATAGCAGAGCAGCTAAGAGGTGAGCCACGGGGTCCTACAGGAGGTGAGCTATGGGGTCCTACAGGAGGTGAGCCATGGGGTCCTACAGGAGGTGAACCACTGGGTCCTACAGGAAGTGAACCAT